GTTGGCCCCAGCGGGCTGGGCTGGAGCCCGCTGGCTTGCTGCATCTGGCTGTGAGCCTTTCTTTAAATTCACAGCCTCCTCCTCCTTTCCGGCCCCCTCATCCTTGGTGTTTAATGCGCTAATAAGACCCCTCCCTCCTATTTATAGCCACTTAGGCAGACCAGCATCCTCTGAGGCTGTGGTCTTACTGAACCCGCCCCATCTGTGCTAACAGTGCAGTGTGTGTCTCTGACCGTGCTGGGACGACTTCAAGGGGAGGCTCCGCTCCTGCCCAGAGGCGGGGGCAGCCCATTCCTGCCCGGAAAAACCAACTTGCTCTCCACTTCCAGGGCTGAGTGGACATGTGCCCGCAGCGTGGGTGGAGTGGGCTGCCGAGCAGGACAGAGTGCCCAGTACTGGAATTCCCGCCTGTGTTTCTCCTCTGTCCTTGCACACAGACGCTTTTGAAGTCAGTTTGGACTTTTGTGGAAACTTAGTTCTTTATTTTTCCCTCTTGTTTCTCTGGTAACAGCAAAACACACACACATGTGTGTCACCTGGCTCCCAGCTGCATTTTCCAGCAGACACCTAGAGCTGGAAAGACAGCAGGGCTCCAGCACCAGAAACTCCAGCCACGCTCTCTTAACGGCTTCTCCCCAGCACCCTCCACTGCTGCCCACCCTGCAGGGCCCGAGAACCAGGCAGGAGGCCCTTTCCACCACCCTTTTCTCTGGAAAGAAAAGACCCCATGGAGGTCTTTTCCCCAGAGCAGAGGATTCGTTGTCTAGAAATCACTGAATGATTTCAGGCTTTTGTACCTTTATCCACCCTTCTCCTTGCAAAATTAGGAAGCCAAAGAGCAAAGAGAAGGCCACGGGGTCAATGGGTGGCAGAACCAGCAAAAAGCGCCCTCGCACCCTCCGAGGCCCGCTGAGCAAAGGCAGCTGTCTGGGGCGCCAGGCCCGGGAACTGGCTGCTTCACCAGTTCTGTTTCTGCTGACTTGATCTATTTTTGTTCTAAACAAAGAATTTCCTATTTCGATCCAGTTTTGAATCCCAAGTATGTGCTCAGACAGTACAGCCACTCGGACACATCTTACCATGCTGGACAGATTTCACTTTCGTGCACTAATTCACCAAGGCCATGCCACACTCACTGTGGGGGTGGGGCCTGAGAGCTGGGGTTTCAGCAGTGCAGGCCAGGAGCTACCGCGACCACCCTCTACCTCTCCAGGTAAGGATAACTGTTTTGCTGGCCTCTCACAATGTTCAGGTCGTCTTGCCCTGACACACGAAGAAGGCAGGGTATTAAAGGATCGTTGAGATCTCCGTGTGTCCCTTGGCTCCTGAGCCCTCGTTCCCAGCTGCACCCCGTGTGGGTGGAAGGATGGCAGAGATGCTAGAATTATCTACTGCTTCCCAAACAACCTTGTCCCCACCAGTGCCTGTGTTCAGTGAGATCCCGTACAAGTAATTTTCCGTACTTTACAGCTTACAGTGAATTTCAGGGGAGAAAGTCACAAGCCGAATAGTGATTTGGAAAGCACTTTCTAACTATCCCATCCAGGAACACTTTCAAAATACATCTGGGCTATAAATTCCCCACCCTCTTTAAAAATGTGCTCAGGCTAGAAGCCAGGGAGAGCTGAGCTCCCACGCGGATACCGCCTAGCCTTCCTTCGTGTGGTGATAAGCCAGGCAGGGCCTCCTGCAAGTGCCCCAGGCCTAGGACACAGGCTCAGGGTGGGTGGGCCAGCCATGGAGACCCCCGGCTCCCTGCTCATGGGAGGAGTGCTTGGGCCACAGTGGTGGGCATTTGCCAAGACTCCTGGACTCACAGCCCTCACCAGTTTCCACTCTGTGGCCCCACGTGGGCAGCTGGACCTCGAGCTGCACACCTCAGCTCAGGGTAACACCAGGTCACCCACTATGAAGGGCTCAGACCAGAGCACCAGACCCACCTCCGTTGCAACAAGACTGAGCTGAGATCCCCTTGGACTGAAGCCTCCTTCAGAAACACTGAAATGAAAATCATGAGACTTGAGAAAAATGCTGCCGCTCCACCAAAGGGACATGGCACTGGCTCAGGCCTCTCACGCGCAGGTGCCAAGATGGATGAGATGCATCTGCCTTGGGACACAGGGAAGGGAGGTGGCAGGTGTGGGGTGAGGGGCATCGCTGGGACAGAGAACAGGACCCAGGGAGGTTCAGCCTACAGATGGACCTTGAGCCCAGCCGCCCCCTGTGGAGTCCAGCCAACTGCCTGCTTTCAGATGAGGGGAGTGTGAGCCCCGTGTGCCCAGGGCGAGAGTTGCCTGTCACCCCTGCTGCCTGCAGAGCCCTCCATGGCTTCTGCCCTCGCCCACTGAGCACTGCTGGGACCCGCATCTCCACACCAGTCCCCCAGGTTAGCTGGGTGGGTGTCGGTGGGTCTCAGGTTGTGTCTGACCATCGCCCCAAGGTCCACCTACCCCGTCATGAGGGCAGGTCTCGGGGCACATCGCTGGCTGTGACCTAAAACTTCCTTCCTCAGGCCCTGAGCCCGTAGCAGCCGATTCCTTGTGACCCAGGTTGTTGCCTGGCTCTGCTTTCAGTAGGCGGGGAGATAAGTACTCATGTGACTTCCTCAGACCCACATTGGGTTCTCCTGTTGGTCACTGTCCAAGATGACACCTCTGCTGGTTCCCAAGACACAGGGAGCCCCAAATGCCCTGGTGGCAGCTGAAACTGTGGTCCAATGGGATTCTAGGGGTCAGAACTCCAGCTGTCTAAGGCCTAGGGCTGTGGAATGATAAACCAAAATCTCCAGTGGGCCACGGAGGGTGGGAGTGAAGTCACATCTGTCTGCATCCAGCCTCTGGACCCCCTGTCCTCCCTGGATGTGGGACTCCATGTGGGTGTGCATGATGCAGGTGTCATCCTGCAGGAGGACCCATCTTTCCAGTGGGGCCTCCAGCTGCTGGCTCAGCCCTGCTTTCAGAAGTTGTATGAGCCTGCTGCCAACCACAGATGACCAGATAGTAGGTCCCACAGTCAGGAGCCACGCCCCCAGCCTTCACTGTGAAATGGGTCCCCTGGTGGGACACTGGCCTGTGGGCCAGGCCTTCTGGAGGGCCTGGTTAGCAGGACCAGTGAGCCTGCACCTGGAGTGCACACTGACCCTGCAGCCAGGATGGAAGTGACCCATGTCGCTGACTCACCACCAAGTAGCCAGTGGGCATCTCTGAGACACTGGGCAGTGGGAGGCAGCAGAATCTGCCTTGGAAGTGGGCCCTACTCACATCCTTTCTCATGTCTTTACAAGGTGTGATTAAAAAAATATGTTGACTGTTACTGCTGAGTGCCATCCAACAAGAAGTCAGGCTCCTGAAAACTTGACACTGTGTCTTCGTGTGCCCTATTCTTCACTGGACCCAGCACTGGCTTGTCCCTAAAGCAAAATGACCATGAAAGATAAATTGAATCCATCCAAGACGTAAAGGCAGCCAAGACAGTGCGAGACACAAGTGAAGAGAACTTCCAGAGTGGCTTCAGAAAGTGGCAGGGTGATGGGATACGTGTGCTCTGAGTGAGGGAAGGGTGTTGCAAGGAATTCATGGCGATGTGTCCATTATTGTAACAAATCCTTTTAAAATTTAAATACTATTTTTTATATGCTGCATAGGTTAGATGCTAGAGTTGAAAAGATGAGTGAAGCCGGGCGTGGTGGCACATGCCTGTAATCCCAGGACTTGGGAGGCTGAGGCAGGAGAATAGTTGTGAGTTTGAGACCAGCCTGGGCAACAAAGTGAGCTCAAGGCCAGCCTGAACTGCATAGCAAGACCCTGTCTCAAAAAGACAAAAAAAGAAAAGATCAGTGAGCTAGAAAAAAAAGAAATGGAAATCTGGGCGTGGTGGTACACACCTATAATCCCAGCACTCAGGAAGTTGAAGCAGGAGGATCACCATGAATTCAAGGTCAGCCTGGGCTACATAGTGAGACCAGTCTCAAAGAATCAAAACCAAAAAAAAAAAAAGGAAACTGCATACCAAAGAATACAGAAAACAAAGTAATATAAGAAGAGCAGAGCAACAGAGGTCTAAGATGCAACACCAGCCAGTCAGACATACTTCTCATTGGTATCCTGGGACAGAGGGGTGAGGAAAATGGCTGCAGAAATCATTGATAAGTTCTTTCAGATTTGCTGAAAATTATGTAGCTACAGATAAAAGAACCTCAACAAACACCAAATAACATAAGCAAAATAAATAAATACTAGGGAGGATCATCATAAGTTGGATCCTCAGTGTCTGCAGGGGTAAAGAGGAATCCTTACACCAGTCAGAAGGAAAAAGACCGCAACCTGAGGACAGACACACCCCACTCCAGGGACAGACTGCCTGGCAGCTCTGCATGAGCCACATGGGCAGAGAAACACATTTGTGTGCTGAGAAAAGCACCATTAACCTAGGATCTTGTGATGAGCAACATCAGCTTCTAAGATGAAAACCCAATGGAGGCATTTTCAAACATGCAGAAGATGAGAGACCACTCACAGGCGGAAAGGCACCTGCAGGAAATGAAGCAGAACCGCTTCAAAAGTATGGAAAGTCATCCCAGATGCAGGGCAGACCTACTCAAAGCGAGTAACGGTACTGAGGGAAGATATAAAGAATTACTTTCTCATGTAAAAAATAACTTTATCACAAAATTCACTGTTTAAAACAAAAACAGCAATGCACTTGGGAATTACAACACAGGAATAAGTAAAATGTGAGCCAGTGTAGCACGCAGGATAAGAGGGAAAACGGAAGCCCAGTGCCGCAAGCTCACTACGTGACAGTGTGAAGTGGGGAGTCTGAACACAGCAGAAGATGGAGCTTGTAGGGCTGGGGTGCAGCTCAGTGGTGGAGAGTGAGATCCTGGGTTCCATCTCCAGCACCAGAAAAAGTCTATATTGGAAACTGGAGCAACCACTGAGAAAAATAAGAAGTTTTTTCTTTGCTGTAATAAAATAAACCCGAGACATTTTTTGACTTACGGTTTGGCGGTTCCACATCACCGTCAGTTGGCCGACTTGCCCTGGGCCTGTAGGAAGCAGCACATCATTGCCGGAGCGTGTGCAGAGCAAAACCATCCCCTCGTTGTCTGGAGGCAAAAGGAAAAGAGAAGGGTGTGCTCTACGGTTCTCCAGGGCCGAACCCCCAGGGACCAAGGATGTCCACGAGGCCCCACTTCTCACGTTTCTGTCACTCACAGTACCAAGAACCTCAAGACCAACCCTTAGCACATGGACCCTCAGGGACGTGTATCCAAACCACAGCAGAGGTATGGCCAGTAGAGAAACGAGGAGGTGGAATCAAGTACAGCTGTGTTCCGCACAGCAGCGTTTCAGGCAACAACACACCATGCCCAGGACTTACACTGGCTCGCAGTGTGCAGCCAGCTTTATTTGTGTAGGCACACTGGTGACGTCCACACGATGGGATGGGCTAATTACACGTTTCTCAGAATGGGTCCCTGCCGTGAAATGCCACATAGCTGTCCTAAAGAATATGTAATCAAAAGTAAGACCGAAAAAAGAAGAAAAATAATAAAGAAGAAATACAGCAAATAAAAAATTAGAACACTGGTAGATTTAATCTAGATATATTAAATAGAAATTATCTAAACACCCTTTTTAAGAGGCAGAGATGTCAGTGTGTATAAAAGTGCAAGAGAATAATATTTAAAGAAATATACTTTAAATATAAAGACAAATATAGGCAGAAATAGAGAAACAAAAGGATATGTCGTGAACATACTAAGACAGCTGGAGTACTATGTTAGCATCAGACAACGTAGACTCAGGACAAACACCTTATTGAGGATTAAAGGAAATGTTATATAACCATGAGGATGTCGGTTCATCAACAAGATATACTATGAAATGTATACTCATCTAATTTTTAAAAATCTCCAAAACACATAAATTAGAAGCTAATACAACTGAAAAAAGAATTGGACTAAGCCACACTGCAGAAGAGATTCCAGCACTCTTCTCAGTAACTGATGAAAAATACAAGCATTGGAATTAAACTAAAAGTCAATAAAAATATATGTGCAAAATTCCCCAAATATTCTGAAGTTAAGCAATAAACTTCTAAATAATATTTCAGTCAACAAGATCAAAAAACAAAGGTGTAAAATAAAGATATAGGCTTCCACAATGCAAAGCTAGAAAAATTAAATCAAGAAGGTGAAAAGAAAGAAGGACATTAGAAAAGAGTAGATATTAATGAAATTTTAAAAAACAAACCAATGCTGATCTATTAAAAATGTCAATAAAACTGATAAACATCTGGAGCAATTGATCAAGATTAAAGAAAACTACAAATTACCCAAATCAGGAATGAAACAGAAGTTTGAACTAAAGACATCCAAAAGATGAAAAAAGGCCAGCACTGGAGAGACTGAGGCAAGAATATTGCTACAATTTTGAGGCCAGCCTGGGCTACATAGTAAGTTCAAGGCCAATCTGGACTACGTGTTGAGACTCTTTCCAAAACAAACAACAAAATCCCAAAGGTTCACAAAGGAATATTATAGAAAAAAACCTTGACAAAACCCAGTATCTATTCAGGATAAAAACAAAACCTTGATAGAAATTGGTATAGAAAGTCTTTACCTTAAAAGCCATTTATGGCAAACCTACTGCCAACATCATACTGAATGGGGAAAAATTGAAATCATTTTTCCTAAAATTTGGAACAAGACAAGGATTCCCACTCTCCCCACTCTCATCCAATATAGTACTCAAAATTTCAACTGATGTGATTAGGCAAGAGAAGAAATAAAAGGGATTTGAATAGAAAAGGAAGAAGTCAAAATATCCTTCACAACTGACATGATCCTTTACATAGACAACCCAAAAAAACTCCACTAGAATACTCTTAGAGCAAAGGGGCAAGATACATAATAAACACACAAAAAATCAATAGCATTCTATATACCAAGAATGAACCCACTGAGAAAGAAATCAGGAAAACAGTTTCATTCACAGTAGCTTCAAAAAAATTGAATATCTAGGAAGTAACATAACCGTGAAAGACCTTTGCATGAAACTACACTGCTCTGGAAAAAGAGATTGGGAGGATATTAGGAAGTGGAAAGACTTTCCCTATTCTTGGATAGGCAGAAAAAATAAGGATATAGGTTTACCAAAATCAGGAATTGTCAAAATGGTGTGTTGCCAAAATGATAGATATAGATAAATAGATAGATAGATAGATAGATAGATGATAGATAGATATAGATTTAATGCAATTCTCCATCAAAATACCATCAGCTTTTTTCACAAAACTAGAAAAATTCTAAATTTATATGGAATCAGAAGATTCTGAGAATAGCCAAAACAATCCTGAGCAAAAAAAGCAAATCATTACAATCCCAGACTGCAAGTTATGTTTCCAAGCTATAGTAATAAAAATAATGTGGTATTGGCACAAAAACAGTGCCTTTGGCCATTAGAGAAATGTAAAATCAAAACAGCACTGTGATCCAACTTTGCTCTAGTAAGAATGGCCATTACTAAAGACTCAAAAAATAATAAATACTGGTGAAGATGTGGAGGAAAAGGAACGCTTTTACACTGTTGGTAGGAATAGAAATTAGTACAACCACTTTGGAAGTCAGTGTGGAGATTCCTCAAAAAGCTAACAGTAGAAATTCCATTTTACTCAGCTATGTATACCTCTCCTAGATTTCTTCCCCCAAAGAGCTAACGTCTCTCTACTACAGTGATACATGTATGCCTATGTTTATAGCAGCACAACTCACAATAGCTAAATCCTACAAGAAGCCTATATGCCCACGAACAGATTGATTGATAAAGAAAATATGATTTATGGGCTGGGGATTTAGCTCAGCGGCAAAAGCGCCTGCCTGGCAAGCACAAGGTCGTGAGTTCAGTTCCTGGTACTGGAGAAAAACCAAAAAAAGAAAATATGATTTATATATGTAATGGAGTACTACTCAGTCATAAAAGATATACTTGAGTCATTCCTATGAAAATGGATGGATTTTGAGACCATAATATTAAGTGAAATAAGTCACCCATAAAGGGATAGATATTGAATAGTTTCTCTGACATGAGAGACCAAAGTGTAAATAATTTAAAGAGCACAATAAAAGGGCCATGTTAAGAAACAGGGAGGTCTGCTCTGTAGAGATGGGAAGAAGACCCGAGGAAGGAGACAGAGAAGAGTCTGGGGCAGAGGGGAGTAAAAACAAGCACTGTGTGACGTGCATGTATCAGAGCCCAAGCTGAGTGTACTCTCTATATATCAGAAGAGCACACTAGTGGGAAAGATTTTAAAAGGAAAATTGGCTGCCAAGTAGAAAATACACGTGCACACATCCACACACATGGGAATAGTACAGACTAAACCCCCCAAAGCTGGCAACTCAGAAGAAATGAAAAAATTCCTTAGAAGACAAAAATTACCAACTTTAAGAAAAAAGAAAATGTAAAGATACCTTTAAATTAAAATAAAAGCATTCTCAAAAGCCTTCCAAAATGGAAACTCCAGGCCTTGAACCCTATGGAATACTTACAGAAGGAGTTGTATTAATCTTCACAGACTCTTTCAGAAAATAGAAAATCTGAAAATTCCCAACTGATTTTTGATGCAGTGTTATTCGAGTATTAGAGACAAAGTTACAGTGGTACCTCGGTTCATGAACTTAATTTGTGCCATGATTCTGGAAAGGATGGCGACAATTGTGTTTGTGCACAAAAGAAGGTGACAGCTGTGTTTGTCACCCAATGTAGTTTTTGCAAATAAAAACAAAACTTTGTCAAACGCTTAAGAACCAAATTGTCATCATGCGAAATTCCATATAGCCAAAATATTCTTGGGGAAAAAATTGGAGGATTTTGTCATACCTGATTTCAAAACTCACTGAGTGGAGTTGAGTTGAGTTGAGTAAGCACAAGAGTTTGAAATTGCATGTGGCTTTACTTCCAGATCCATGGAAAAGAGTACAGAGCCTAAAAATAGATCCATTCATCTCTGGGTGATCCGTTCATCTGTTTGTTGGTTTTGATCAAGATGTCATGGTGATTCGATGAGGAAAGAATAATCTTTCTACAAAGGGCGCTGGAGCAACTTTTTATTGCTTTGGAAGACAGCCATTCCCTGACCCTTGCCTGACTCTGTACACAATGATCAACTCACAGATACCACTGACCTCAACAGAAAACCTCTAAAAGAAACAGGAAGAAAATCTTTACAACCCTGGCTAGGGCAAAAAAGCCAGGGAACGATTTCTTATGACATAAAAAAATCAACAATTAATACAAATTGTTAAATAGACTCCATCCACAGTCACATCTTCTCCTCTAAAAAGCACCATTAATCAGAGAATGGAGGCAGATAGAGAAGTGGGAGGGAAAAGGGAAGCAAAAATGATTAACCACTTAACAGTCCAATTATTTAGATATAGGATGATGAAAAAGTGCATTGTTTCATTAATTTTAATAAGATAATAAAATTTTACCAAATTTATTCAATCACTTTTCTGTGTGTGGTATATCTTTTTTTTTTTTTTTTTTTTTTTTTTTTTGGTTTTTCTCTGGTACCGGGAACCGAACTCACGACCTTGCACTTGCCAGGTAGGCGCTTTGCCGCTGAGCTAAATCCCCAGCCCCTTGTGTGTGGTATATCTTAAAACATTCAGCACACAACACAATATTGCAATCTGGACAGTGGTACCTACACTCTTTCCAAATTCTTTTATGTTACTGTCTTTCTTTGGACAACACACTTTACACAGTTGTGTTGACCTTTCCTTTTTTCTGTGAGTGGTACAATTTCAATAAAATGTCTACCACTAAACGTAATGGTGAAGATGTTGATGATGAACATCTGGTTGGCACTTTGCTATCCTGTATCTTTCAATTATTTGACCTATTAGACCTAACCTAAATCATAAATGACTTTTTCAACCCCCTCATTTTGAATAAATAACAAACGAGTTCCATATCGCTTGGTCTAGAAGGTGCATAAGTATTTTATAATAATACTTTCCCTCACTTTTTGTTAAGGGTAGCTTGTTAGATATTGCTCAACTCCATCAACACCACCCACAGAATTATTACAATCATTGACCACTATTGGAAGTTTTTAGTTTCATTTCTTCTTTCAAGTTCTATCATTTCTGTATTACCAAACACTGACAAAAAGGAGAGGTC